GCTATCAAGTTCACAGTCTTTCCCAGAGGAACCTCCACTCCCCAAACCCCTCTGTGCAACCCCTCCCTCCACACCCCAGCACAGTGGCCTGCACTTAGACCAGTACCCATGCCACCTCCCTGGGAAATGTGCCCAACTTGTCCACAGATCCCTCACAGGCCAATCAGAATATAACTGCCCTGGCCTCAGTGACTAGTTTAGGGATGAGTATATACAGGGTCACTCTGTACAGTTATATAGGTTGAGCACTGCACAAAAACACCAGAGATAAGTGTCAAGTACAATTCTAGCCTGGGACAGTCTTGATGAAGGCCCAGCAAGTGTGACCCAATGAGCACCAAAGAGACACAAATCTCAGGGCCTTTGCTGGTTTCACTGAGACAGAAAAACAGGCCCTGAAGCAAAGGCTATCAGTCTGAAGTTGCTAGGGGACACTCTGGAAATAGCTACTTAAGATACATATCAAGAAAAGGAGCACACAAAAGAAGAAGCCAGGGCAATGGGGCTGGCTTAATAGCAGCCTAACTGGTCACCCAACACAGACTGGCTACAGTCTCTAGTTTCCAAAGGTGGCTGAGAGCAAGTTTTAGAATTCCTGCCTTCTTAGGCACAGGGCTGGCCCCTAACAGGGGGAAGGGGAGGCCATCTGACCCCTTCCTGCTAGAGAGGATTCCAACACCTTCCCAGATGTCTCCTTTGCTGACCACAGTCAAGACTGGAGCCTCAGCTGGGCACTGGTGGCTCACACCTGTAATCCTAGCTACTCAAGAGACTAAGATCTAAGATTCGAGGTTCAAAGTAGCCCTGGCAGCATAAAGTCTGTGAGCCATTTCTCCAATTAGCCACCAGAAAACTAGAAGTGGAGCTGTGGCTCAAAGTGAAAGAGTGATAGTCCTGAGCAAAAAAGCTCAGGGACTGCCCAGGCCAACTTCAAGCCCCACAACCAACAAAATAAAACTCTGAGCCTCAACAAGAGGCTGAGATCTCGGGCACCAAAATAGCATGCAGGAAGAAGGTGTAGCTCCTGGGACAGCAGCTTTCTACTGCAGCTGGGCTCCAGGAGGTCAGAGTTGAGAGAGCTGTCTCCTAATCTCCACCTCATTCTGTATTTCCTGCCCTGTCCACATCCATGCTGATGGAGCACAGGCAACAGTGGGCAGCTGCTGAACCCCACATGACCTGAGACAGTGGCAGCAGATTCTACTCCATTCTTGGCAAAGCCCTGAAGACTAATGAGATCACTGTACCTGGACCACAGGGTATACATGCGGCTGTCCCAGGGGAGCCCCGCTGTGACTGGGCAGCTGCTTTGTTCTTTTACTAGTACTTTGTTCTTTCACTACTACTTTTAACGAAAAGAACAAGTGAGAGACAAACTATGGTTATTCAGACACTGGGACTTAACTGACACTTTCTCAACCACAAACAAAGTGAGCCTGTCACTTTGAGGACAACCACTAGTAAACATGGGAGTTTGAGAGCAAAAATGAGCATCAGCAACATCTACATACACACCACTGGGAGTCTGACAGCCTCACAGCTTGCCTGATGTGACAGGCAGGGGCAGAATGAATGTGAGGGTCATGCTGGAAGGCATGCGCAGCTCAAAGCCAGTGCTTTGCATGTAATGGTCAAAATCCTACAAGAGAGCCGGACACAGCAGAGGTGTTTACAGGCAGAGCAGTGGTTCATGGATCCAGCGTGAGACACCATAGAACAAATCTCATCTCATGCAGGGCACGTCCAGCAGTCACCTGAGAACTTTGCTTTTACACACACACACACACACACACACACAGTGGGGATGCATTTCCTTCAAATGCCACCACTGACATAATGAAGTGAGCCACAGGCCTACAGGACACGGCTGTCCTCAGCCTCGCCAGACATGAGACTTCAGGCTAGGGCACAGGCACCCCTCTTCTTGTCAAGCTTTTCTTCTGGAAAAATGGCTGGTTTTGGTTTTTGTTGATTTTTAATGTTAGCATATAGACAGTTTATGAGTGTTGTTTTCAACACTTCTTAGTTTGATTTCTAATGCACTAAACAAGATATAACTCATGTAAAACAGTTCTTTGGGGTTCTATTTTTTTTGGTCAGTTTTGGGGCCTGAACTCTGGGCCTGGGCGCTGTCCCTCAGCTCTTCAGCTCAAGGCTAGTGTTCTACCACTTGAACCACAGCGCCGCTTCCAGTCTTTCTGCTTATGTGGTGCTGAGGAATCCAACTCAGGGCCTCATGCACTGAGCCACTTGTTAAGTGAAGGGTCTAGGACCGGAAAGGTTGAGGGGCTGTTCTAAGGGTCCCTCATGCTCACAGTGTCACATGGGAAAGGAAAGGACATGCCTGGCAGCCTAGGATGCTCCTCAAGACCCAGGAGCCTTTAAACAGGTCCTCACCTCCCCTCATAGCTTTAAGCCAGGATCCCTCCAAGGCCTGTGTGAATGTGGGGGCTCACAGGTTAGCTTGCCTTTCTTGGTGTTTGTGTGAGTGCGCATGTGCTGTTTTTGTTGTTTTGTGCCAATATCATGGCTTATACTCAAGTCCTACGCACTGTCCTTTAGTTTTGGGGGGTTTTTTTCACTCAAGGCTAGCACTCTACCACTTGAGCCACAGTTCCCACTTTGAGCTTTTGGCTGGTTGATTGGAGATAGGAGTCTCATGGACTTTCCCACATGGGCTGGCTTCCTCAAATCTCAGACTCCTGATTAGCCAGGATTACAGGTGTGCATTATCCATACCCAGCTGCCTTTCTTGTTTTTGTGGGTTGCTCTGCCTATTCAACAACCCTCACCCAATTCCATGCATGGAGAGACTGTCCCAAATCTAGACAGAGACCTACAGTGAGAGATTCTAAAGGGAATAGATGACGCACAGGGCATTAGAGGTAAAGCCTTCCCTGGGGAACTAAGCCAAGGCTATTCTTCCAGCAACACCCAGAACTGCCCAAACCTAAGCAGCCTGGAGCCCAAGGGGCCATTAGCCATCAGGGAATATGTGGGACAGGGGAAATCCCAGGATAGGAGGGAGGGAGGGTTAGTGGGTGGATGGGAACACAGGAAGGAAATGAACCAACAAATACCCTAGAAAACTACACACCTTCCCAGGGAAGTTTTTGTGGCAGGATGGATAATGGCCTCCAAAGATGCTCACATCCTAATTCCTGGGACAATGTAACCTTTCACAGCCCAAGGTTGATGGGAAAGAATCCTGGATTATCCAGGCAAACCTGTGTACCCAAGGGTCTTTCCTTATAAGAGACAGGTGAAAGAGTTCAGAAAAGAAGTCCATGGGACAATAGAAGGAGAGATCCAAAGTATGAACCAAGGAAAGCGGGTGTGTCTAGCCACTGGAGAAAAAAAAGAGATGGACTGTCCTGAGCCTGGAGAAGAAACTGCACTGCTCAGACCTGGATCATAGCTCAGTGAGACAGACTTTGGACTTCTGACCTCCATCACTGGAAAAGAATAAAGTATGCTGTTTCAAGCCACTGAGTTTTTGGTATTTTGTGACAGCAGCCACAAGATTTTCAAACAAATTCATACTGTTATCCCCTATAAGCCAGAGCGGCCTGACCAATACCAGACTCAAAGGGACCTCTTCCTGGACGGCCTGAGGAGCAGCCTCAGCCTCACATAGCCCCTATGTTTCTGCTGGTCACTGTACTTATCACTGGCCAGCTGCTTAAAGAAGAGCCAGCCCCACAGGTGGCCCTGGCACCAGGGATGCCTTTCCCACGGCTGGCCCACCTCCTCAGCATGACAGCCCAGCTCCCACGACCACCTGCCCCCATACAAACCTTTACAGAAAAGTCTCCACCAGGGCTATGTTGTCACGAAAGACTGTGAGTGCCACGAGTCCTTGGTTCTCAGCAAGAATCTGTTACTCAGTAAAAAATGGCCCTGGAGTGGATAGCAGAGCTACTGGGCCAGGTGAACATTACAAAGAAGGAACTAGAAGGGCTCCATGCTTGACGGCAAGGAAAGGTACATGAGGCCCTCCAGTGAACAGGAAGAAAAGCAAAATGCACCAGCTTTGATGGACGCCCTCGTGGGAGTCAGGAGCTCACTGGTCTCCCCACACGTTCTCCCACTGACTGTCTCACCGTCAACCCCAGCGATGGACCAGGAAACTGATGGGAGGTCCCCAGCGGGTGGCGACCGACGCTGAAGCCCAAAGCACCCTCCTCCCCACCCACCCTCTCCCAAGAGACGCAGCGGGAGGACCCCCGCCGCCCCGACGGCGCGGACCCGGGTTGGAACCCGGAGATCCTCGCCCACCGCCCTCCACACTCGCCCTCGTCCACGATCTCCCGCGCCTGGACGCACGCGGGACCGCCCCCCCCCCGCCTCCGGGGAGATGGGCACTGGCGGCCCGAGGCTGGACGGGGTCCGGGCCTCAAGGCGCCCGGAGGCCGCAGGGGCGGGTGGACTGGGGCGAGGACCGGTT